TCTAAATACCGACTATCTGCAGGCTGAAAACTGATTTTGCATATTGTAACTGGTGCTATGGTCTGCGTTTGCTCTTGTTAGTTGGTAACAATTGGTTGTTGTTTTAGTGTTGAAAAATATATTATTTCTATTAGCATATTTGAGTCTTAGGATGAAAAGGTGCGATAGAAATATTTCAATACATTACCATGCATGGCTGATACAGAAACCAATGATCTCAAATTCAATGATCATAATGCTTAGGAGCAAAATAGTTCTTCAGTTTGTGCCACCTGAGTTTACATCTCCCTCTCTCTCTCTGCACATTTCCTAAAGTCCAAACAACTTAAGAAAAGCTTTCTTACTGTGAAGACTAAGAAGACTTGACAGTGTGGAGGATTTTAAAGATGTACAGCTGGCAGTTGAAGCTTTTGAGTGAGAAATGTAATATTGGCAAGGCCCTGTAGTGACTGTCAGAGCTAATGCTTCTGGATCTTGGAGAGACCAAAAGCAAACACCAATCCATTGCCATTAAACTCCAGCGATGATCTCTAGGAGTATGCAGAGGGTTGAAAGGCTTTAGGAGAAAAAGCAGGTTCTTTGTTACCTTTGACACACAAACATCCTGAGCAAGCTACCGTTTTGTTTATCCTCCTGCAAACCATAGGAAAAGCAGAATTCAAGCTGCTTACCTTCCTTGACATGACCTTTCCAGCCAGAATATCCATTCAAACATTTGAATCCAGTGAAGTAGAATTAAAATCATTGACCTTTCATTCTTCCCTAATCCACTCCCTTCCACAGACTTAGCTTTTAATAACAAAAACCCACGTCTTTACATGCCATGCTGTCAATACTACAAAATGCAGCCCAGGTTTATGATGCATGCTAGCCACAAAAAAAAAAAAAACCCAAACTGCTGTTATTTGAGAATATAGTGCCTCAGTTTTGACTCATACTCCAAGTTCTGGCCAAACTTTGTCACCGGAATTTTGTTTATTTTTCAATATTTTGATGCAAGCTTGGTGCTTTTAATAATTGTCTCCCTCTTTGCAATCAGCATGTGACAGCTCACTTGGAGAAGGAGAGCAAGAAACAGCTACATAGGAATGTCTTTCTCCATTGGAGGGGAGGTCTAATACATAAACACACACAAAGAAAGAGTTCCTGTCCTGGTCACTGAACTAAAAAGGGATCCATTTCTTAGAAGTATCAAATAACCCTGCCAAACAAATGCTCACAGAAGAGGCCAAGTTTACTGGAATAGCTAAATAGCTCATTAACGGGAGCAGGGGGGGGGGGGGTTCACTTTATCTTTCTCACTAGGCCACCCAGCCAATATCTTGACTGTGCTTCTGCTCATTGTCTTGTCAACTTGATGGTAAAATGTCCACACTATAATGCACTTGACTTCATATTGAGGCTGATGAAAAGTAAGAAGACTTTGAATAGCATCAAACTTTCTATCCTTATAAGGCTATAGTGCCAACCAACTGTCAGAGATAAATGCATCCCACTATGTCCTTTACCATCCCAGAAAGCTAAAAACAGAAGATGCAACACTGTGGGAAAAGATGAAATAATGTTTTCCTTGCAAATGTGCTTCATTGCAGGACAAAGCTTTTTATTTTTGGCAGTTGTCACTAGCGCAAATTATACAGCTCATCAGATGTGGTTTGTTATATGGAGTAAATCAACCAGTGCAAGTAGTTGTTTTTCTTGTTTATATTCAGTTACAAGTTTTCCTAAAATCAGATTTCTATTTGTGGCTGTTGTTGTTCTTGAAAAATAAGGGTCAGGATATGAAACAAAGATATTCTAGGATTTTTTTTAGTTTCGCTTCCATGTGATCATTTTCAAAGCTTGTATATTTGTTTGCATGTAGTTAAAATGAAAGCACCGGTTCACTGATTGTATGCAGAACTTCAAAAGATTTGGAAGTTCAAATTGAGACTGCATTCAAATATGCACATAAGCAAGAGTAGGGATGATTAAATTAATGTAGGGCCGAACTGGGAATCATGTGGTTCTTCAGATGGTGCTGGTCTGCAGCTTTCATGATTCCTCACTATATCCTAGGCAAGCCAGGGCTTCTGAGAAATGCTATCCAACAATATCTAACAGTATCTGGAGATCTATGGGATCACCGTTTCTGATGCAGGATTGGTTTGGTTTCCCCGCTTTTAAGTATACAGTTGTGGGCTGAGAGGTGTTTGATGCATGCAAGAAAGGAAATATAACAATCAAGCCTATCCTTTCTGACTTGATGGCCATTTCATCCAAAGGAAACTGCAGTGGTTATCAACCTAAATACTCTAAAGGCACCAGATTATGTCTGATTGAGGAAGCTAAAGAGGATTGCCTCTGGTTTCTATTTGGATGGGAACAGGAACTCTAGGCTGTATTTTAGAGGAAGGAATTAACAAAAACAACTTGAGTGTTTCTTGTCTTGCTAGATGAAATTCATAGGGTTGCCATATGTTGATAGGCATTTTGAAGGCAAATATGTGCATACATCCAAGGTGACCTAAAGGTGATAGTGCACATGCTGATTACCTCAAAGATGGATTTCTGCAATATACTGTACATTGAGTTGCCTATGTACCAAGTTCAGAAACTTCAAGTAGCTCAGAACATGACAGTCAGATTGCTTACTGGTTTGTTTGTTTTTTCAGAAATGACCACATAATACAAGAACTAAAATCACTCTGTGAGCTTCCAATTAGTTTCTTTGCAAAGTACAAAGTGATGGTCAAGACCTTTAAAGCCCTGTTTGGTTTTGTTCCAGATTACAGGTTCACTTTCTTCCAAATAATCTGTCCCATATACTCAGTTCCACTAGAAGACATCTACTTCAATCAGCCTAAACTATAGTGACTGATACCCAAAGGACATTTCTTTTGGCTGCCACAGAATGTGGGATAACCTGCCAAAAGAGATGTAGATGCTATCTGAGTTTATATCAGCAGTAAAGACCTGTCTCTTCCAACAGGCCTGCCCAGGTTATTTTTAAATTCTGGTTTCAAAGTGTTTATTGATAGATTTTAATGTATTGGCTTATATATATATACAACTTTATATATACAATTTTATATATACTGTGTTATTTGTTGTTGTTCCCCATCTTGATCCACAGAAAGAGATAGGCAACAATATTATTGCTATTATTGTTGTTATCATCATCATTATCATTTATGTTGTGCTTCTTTCTGTGCAAACTTTTTTGAAAATGTAATTAGGTGCAAATGCAAAGCAGTTTGGGGAGAAAGGGAAGTTACCTTAAGATTAACACAAGGGTGAAAACACAGTGATCATATGAATGTGGTTTAGACCAAAGGTTGTCTAGTCAAACATTCTGTTCTTCTCGTGCAGTGCCAGTTGTTGGCTTCCATATCCATGAAGTGATGAATCTAGTTGTGATTTTAGTCCAAGACTTTGATGGAGCCATCTAAGATTCTTTTCCCCATTCTCATACCACATTCATCATCTTAGATGGATTCTTTAACATTCAGAATTTACCACCCCACTGCGATTGCTGTTGCTGACTTCCACTGCCCTGGTAGACATGGACAACCAGTTGCTTATGGGGCAGGCAGAATCTAAGTGCCAACAATTTCAATTCCAGCCCTCCAGTAACAGGACAGATTGAGGCAAATATTGCCTATTAAAGACCTCACATAAGTTATCATGTGGGATGTGAAAATAATTCAGTTTTTCCCCACAAAGGGGAATGCCCCCCACCAAACAGTATAATGTGCCAAAGGTTATATATTTGCTTCACATGGGGTGACAAATATTCTACAGCAGACTCACCACTAAATTTTTGTATGTCTGTATGCCTGAATTAAAGATGTAAATATTCCTGAATTTTCTTCTTGCAGGCAAGAACAAATTGTTTTACCATGTTTCTTTTTTGCTCAAAAAGTTGTTGATTCTATCAGGATTCTAAAGACTTCAAGAAAACAACATAAAAATGTAAGAACAGAGACTGCCACAACATGGAAAAAGGAGGAAATGGTAAGGATGATAGTCCACCAACACCAAACTGCATTTGGTGCTGCTGGGAAGCTGGGATTCCCTCCCACTTTTGCAACATTTAAAAGTTGTAAGACACTTTGGTTCTCAATCTTGAGAAAAAAGCAGGGTAAAAATAATTTTTTATCATTATCATCTCAGTAGTTCCCATAATTTAGATTTCTGCCCCAGGTACAAAAATGGCTTAAACCATTTCTGCTCTCAGCTTCGTTTGAGATAAGATCGTAACATTTTAGAATACGATGCATCCATAATCAACAGTGCTGACCTGGCAAAATCCTCTCTGCAAGTCAGTTATTGTGAGAATGACAAAAACACGAATACAATCATTTGTTATAAAGCAAAATAATATATATATATATATATATATATATATATATATATATATATATATATTTTCATTTACCTGACATTGTATTTAACATTACAGAATATGTAATGCTCTATTTAATGGACTTTCTGAACTTCCATTTGGGAAATAACCAGCAGTGCTCAGCAAAAGATTGCCCTACTAACATTCCCTGTCACTAAGCTTTAGAAAATGTACACAAACAACACTAGAAGAAGAAAAAAGGCAAAGCCGAAGATCCTGCATAGCTAGTAAAAAAAGAAGTAATATTTTCGCCATTTAGTAGCAAGCAGTAACTAGTTTTTGTTCTATCCAGCAAGGGAGCACAGTTAATATGTATAGCTTCATTAAACCTTTGCCCATTTACATTTGGGGTAAAAACGGGTTGGGGGGTTACAATCACATATAATGTGACCCCCCCCCAATTTCATTCATCCACATCTGGCAAAATATATTCTGCCTAAGCATTTTTAGGACCTCCAGCATGACTCCATTGTATTCTTGGGCCAGAAGTCCCTGATTTCAATGGGGTTTGCTATTACACCGATGAGAAGGTCATACAGTATTTAAAACATCTTCAGCAATTCTGCCAGAACCTGAAACAAGTCTTGGTTTATTGTCACATGTAGATTCCAACTCAAAGCAGTAAGAAGAGTATGCCAAAGCCCATAAAGAGTGAAGCCACCAGACAGATGAGTCGTTGCTTGTAATTATCCTGAGTATACTTAATAAAGTTCACTTCATAAATGAAGAACCAGACAGTGTAGAACATGCCAATGGCCAAGAGCACCATAATGAGATGTAGAAAGACAGCTTGGTTCACTGGACTGGTGTACCTACTCATTGTCACAAGCTCCATTTTGCTCCACGGCTGCTTCCCTCAACTTCAGCCCTGTCAACTGGAGCGCTGCTGTCCCATTTCCCTCCCTGCTGATGGAAGGACACTATCTTCCTTTAAAACATCTAAAACTTGACTGATCCTAACTAACTCAAACTGACAGCTTGCAGTCATATTCCTAATTGCAACACCCATATCTTTCACTCTCCTTACTTTAACTCCCATCCCTCATGTCTAATCTTCTCCTAACATCTCTAGCTAGATTTTTGATAGAAAAGTTGGAAGAAGTGGAAATTGGGGAGGGAGGAATGAAATGATTAGGGGGGGGCTCAGAATGATGAATGAAATGTTTGAAATGAGATGGTTAATTTTAAGTCTGCTCCTTCAAATTAATTTCTAAAACCTAAAAGACTTTTGTAAAAAAAAATGTACATTATGTGATCAATGTACCATAATTCCAGCTTTTGGCATCCTTTTCTCAGTATTTTTTTATGCTTTACAAATGCTTGACTCTGTAGAAACAAAATAACTTCCTCTGTTTTAAGAACGTATTTTTATTTCTTTATTTTGATATTTATCTTAAGTTGTTGTTTGTTTTGTTTCTATTATTCTTTCAGTAAAGTGGCAAAACCAAAGAAATTAATCACAGTTCAAGACTGTAACTCCACCTGTAACAATAAAAATATTTAAAGAGGCCATTCACTTTGCAAATATTATCTCACTGAATTGTAATTTTAATTTAGCAAACATGATAATTACAGCAGAAACAGAATTTTATAATTGCATTCTATTTTTCTCATAACTGTATCATTCTTGCATGTTATGCTTCTAATTGTTTAATTCAATTATATTATGTGTCTAATACACCATATGTTTCTAAAGTGATTCTCATCTAAGATTTTATTTTTTCCTCATTTTTCTATGAATTTCTGGTATTTTTCTTTAAAAATCCCAGAAAGAAACTATTTTTAGGTTTCAAATGGGAATTACCCAACTTTAAGGGGAACCTATGCATGCACAAGATGTCACAGGAATTCCATCCACAGTAGTATTTTATGATTTCCTGGGATTGTAAAAATTATTTTATTTGCCTTCCAGTAATTTAGGTTTTCATATTATGTATTTATCATTATTTATGAATTTGTAATTGTTAACTACTACATACTAAACTATGTGTATATTCTGAGTGATGGACATAGACATTGGGAGACCAGGATTCAAATCCCCACCTATTCATAGAAACTCACAGGGTGACCATAAGCAAATTACACTTTCTCTGCCTCAGAGGAAACCAAAGGTGAAGTCCCTTTGGACTAATTCTGCCAAGAAAACCTCATGATAGGATTACTTCTGATTTGTAAAAAGTGAGAAATGGCTTGAAGGCACACAATAGAAAACAAACTATATCATGTACTGCTCTGTAGTTTTCCTTTATTGCTACTTAAATACGCTTTATTATCTGCCAACAGCTTTGAGATACAAGAGGAGATCTCCAAGACCATGTTCTGCTCTTCAGTTCCAGCCCCACCACTTCCATCTTTCTGCAACACTGGGAAGGAATTGTGCTGGTAATAAAGAAGCAACTGGGTACTTGACAGCCAGGTGGAGCATTTCTACTGTAGTCTGTGTTTTCAGAGTTCTTCAAAATGTTATGGCCAGGCTAACAGTACTGGATATCTGGAAGTTCTGCTAGACTTCCTTGTAGTCAATATCAGTTTTAGACTGCAGTGGTTTATACGTTAAGACTGAAGAATGCAGTCCTCTAATCATATAGCCCATGGCTACTAACTCAGTGGGATCTTCACTCTGTGGATTCAAATTCAAAAAATGTTAGATTTTTTTAAAGAAATAAAGAATTAATCCAACAGGCTAATTCCCCTCTTAGCCCCTTTGTGTCTTTAATTAACTTGTGCAATTCCCATTTCAAGGTCTGATCTCCATTATGTTATAACTCTGTGTGTATTAAAACTTCAGCGGGAACATGACCCAGAACACACCATCACAGACAGTGACAGGAATAGAGTTTGGAAGGCAAAACCTCTTAAATCAATTCTGTATGTTGCAGGGTGATAACATACAAACAACTTTACAGGTGGTGATTAACACCAATGTAAATATCACAAATTATGAAAAATACATCCCCACAGAGCTAGAAAGGGTACAACATCATAGGACACTACATGCATATGTGGTGGGGTTGTATAGTTGCCTTAATATTCTGGAGGAAAATCTTTCAGGAAGTATGTAAAATTACCAGTGTCTGGGTTCAATTTGTTCCAGACTAAACACTATTGATAATTTCTTCCTGTTTTCCAGTTATCACATAAGGACCTAATCACATTTTTACTTTTAGCCACTAGAGAATTCATAGTACAGCAGTGAAAATCAAAAAATACATTGAACATCACCTTGTGGCAGGCATGTAGCCGGGGGGGGGGGGGGCTTGAGGGGCTTCAGCCTCCCCCCAAAAATTCTCATAGTGGTCCACGAAAAGGTCTTACTGGTGCATTATTTAAACTGTTATTTTTATTCATATTATGATCCGATCACCATGCTCAATATATACCATATGCATGGGGGTATTGGGATAATGATACAAAAGGTTTGCTAGGGTAGACCCTCTTTCACTCAGATTCAGCCCCCCCCCCCCCCCCCCCCCCCCCGAATCAAAGTCCTGGCTACGGGCCTGCCTTGTGGTATGCAAGAATATGGGCCTTAGCTCTCTTAGAAAAGTTAACACAAAGAATCAAAGAACTAAATAAAGACCTGGACAGAGATGACATTACAAAAACTTGGTTCACTTTTATTTGCTATGCTGACTAATCAACAAACACAAGACACTCTGATCACTCATGCTCATATATGGAATGAGGTACTTGGTTCGAAGTAGGCATTAGCTATGGAGGCCAGATTATGTACAGTATAGTTTTCATGTATGAATGTTTTGCAGTGTTTTTAGTTAATTTGTAAACTTTGTCTATTTCATAAATTGTAGTTTATATTCATATATTCAATATAATAAAATGTAAGTATGCCCTACTCAGTTCAGTGGGAATTATTACTGAGTAAGTATACTAGAAACTCCATGTTCCTTTTTAGAAGGATTTACATATCAGCCACAATACTCAATAGTTTGACTTTGAGAAGTCAGATTATTTCACAAGGTTGTTAAGGAGGGGAAAATAAACTAAACTCAGGAAAACCAACTTCAGTTGTTTCAAGAATTTGTGGGATTCAAATATAGCAACTAAATAAATATTCTTACAAGAATTTGCACCTTCTGAAAAACTAACTCCTAGTCCAAATAGAGTTAGATATCCCTCCATACAAGGACTCTGTGAAACAAAATTAAATATTCACTTATAGTTCTGAAAGTGTGGATCTTTTAAATTATATCCATGTCCCTACAAAGGATAATTGTTGCTATCTCTTCCATTAAAAAAATTAAAATACTAAGCTTCTAAGAATAGCAATGGAGAAATTGCATGAAGACTTAAAAGGGGAACAGAAAAAATAACTGGTTCTGGCAGTTTTGAAATGTTAAGTTTTGCACACGTACACACACCAAAAAAAAAGAAGAAGAAGGAGAAGGGGAGGAAGTAGAGTGATTCACTTTAAGCTCTAATGACTATGCCTTATGAGTACAGATTTCCCCAATATGTATAATGCATGAGTGGCAAAATAGGTCAAACACTAGGGGAAAAATCCACATCTTTGAAATCATTAAGAATACAATTGTTCCACTGCATTGCCGTTTGCATAAGAGTTCAAGCAAAATCTTATAAGAAATGTAAAGGATAATGAGAATTCCCACTCTTCTGACAGATGAGAGAGCTACTAGCAATTTGAAATCTGGAGAAGGGACCACAGCCAACGTATCTAGAATAGCCCCTTTGCACAGGATAGCTGTCTCCTTTGTGCTACAAAAATATTGGTTGTAATGTTAATATTCAGTTTCTTCAGCCAAGATTTTGGCATCTTAAATCTAAACATTGTAGATTTAAGCAAACTATGTAAAATGCGGATATTCACTCATAGAGAAATATTCTGGCATTGTATGATAAAATACTAAGCTTCTAAGTATAGCAATGGAGAAACAACAGAAGTATTATAAACTCGTGGCTGCCATTGTAGCCGAGCAAAGAGAAGTTACTTTTTCAGACTTGTTTTTTCATGTCAGGAGCAATTTGAGAAACTGCAAGTCGCTTCTAATGTGGGAGAATTGGCTGTTTGCAAGAACGTTGCCCAGGGGACGCCCGGATGTTTTACCAATCTGTGGGAGGCTTTTCTCATGTCCCCACATAGGAAAATGGAGCTTAGACATAGGAGCTCACCCTGCTCCCTGGATCTGAACCACCGACATTTCGATCAGCAGTCCTGCTGGCACAAGGGTTTAACCCATTGCACCAGTGGGGGCTTCACTTTTTCAGATGAAAACTCCTATAGTCTTCTCAACAGCATGGCCACTGGCCAAAAAGTTTCAGAATGAAATATGACCATTCACATATGCAACATTACTTAACTTGACTCAGGGGCCCCCAAAGATATTTCCAATTTTGATTAGATGTTTTATGAACCATTAGAAAAGTACACTGTGCTTTAGGGACTTTTTTGAATGCACCAGATAACCACCAAAGTATTGATTCTGACTGCCCAATCCTTCTACAAATTACTTTTTCAGACTGTTTCCAATAAAATGTCATTGCTACAAGCTCTGAGATATTGAAATTGCAAACTTGTACTCTCCTCAGTATAAACCTTTCTGCTGACTTCCACTGTTGCATGGCCAGACCTTCTCATGCGGGGGTCTGAGGCAGCTAGTGGCTTTTCTATCAGTGGGGCAGTGAATATGTTTTACCTTTTTGTCTGACTTTCTGGTGGAAGCTGACTATAGAATTGCTCTGGAAGCCTAGAGAAAATGTTCAATGCTTCTATGGTGTTCAATGCTCTTTGCACATAAATGGGACCATGTTCAATGAGTTCACATTATAAGTGTGTGTACAGTATTCAAAAATTAAAAT